TGTTCTGATACACTTATTTGGAGCCCTGCTAGTTATTTATTACAAATTGGGTATCACCTGCTCTGTCTATAATGTATCTGGTTTTCAGTTCTACAGTTAGTTCAGATTACTTTCATTCTAGAGATGAGGCCTCTAAGAGGTCTACTGACTAACATCAGACAACCAAGGGGAAAAGTCAACACTGTCTACCTTTCCAAGCACACTTGATGTTTTCAAAAACACCAGTCTGTCTCAAAACTACCATAGGATTCCAGTCTAAGACTGCTTCTTCCTATCACCTCGGCAAAAATTAAAGACGGTGGTAACTTCCAGGAGGCTGCATAGAAGCTTCAGGCAGGTTAGCAGTATAAACATTTCCAAAGTATCACAAAGCCCACGCCAGAAGAGACAGAAAAAATGAAGACGGATGACTGTTGACTTTCAACTGTCTCTTTCAAAACCAAAGCTACAAAAACATTCAGTTGGATGCCCCGCTCCACAATACCCATCCCTATCTATAGCATCTCTTCATACGGTGCTGATACAGCACAGTGCTAAATGTCTTCTGGGGGCATGGTGGCAGCGGCAGAAGCATTTGCAAACTGGTATATTTTGTTTACCAGCAACCCCACTTCATAGCACTCGTGGAAGTAACTAGGAACACAAAGGGTTAGCGGCACAATGTTCTTCAAAGCAGTTTATTAGTGAAAAACTGGAAACCTAAAAATTCAACAGTAGTTTAATAAAATGTGGCACATATGAAGAAATACCATGCAGCCATTAAAAAAGATGTAGAAATACATATGACACAGCAAGGTCGTCATGGTACTGTTGAGTGAAAAAGTTACAAAACAGCATGTACAATTTGATCCCATTAAAAAAATCTTTAAAGGTACAGAGTCTGGAGGCTACACACCTGTCCCAGTGCTTATCCTCAGATGGTGGAATCGCAGGCCATTTTTGTATTTTTACCTCTAAATTTTTCCTTTTGTCAGCATATTATGACTTGTGTTAATAAAAAAGTATTAACAATTTTAAAAAAGTCTACTTTGATGTAGGAATAAGAGTACAGCTTAGCAACCTGAGGTACAGTGATGTAGATACGTTAGTCTATACTGCTTCACTGGGTTATCTGGGTGTTCTGATGCTAAACACCAGTTCAAAGGCACTGTGTGGAAATATGGTGGTTAGAGCTCATCATTCTTTAGACCAGTGGTTCTCAACTTTCCTAATGCTGTGACCCTTTAATACAGTTCCTCATGGTGTGATGACCCCAACCATAAAGTTATTTTCATTGCTACCTCATAACAGCAATTTTGTACTGTTATGAATCATAATGTAAAATCTGGTATGTAGATGTCTCTAGGCAACCACTGTGAAAGGGTCATGTTGAGAACTGCTGCTTTAGACAGTGGGTCCACATTTCTATAGACCTTAAATGGCATTCTAAGTAATACTTTCCTTACTGACACTAAATCATCCTTCCACCTTCTTACCCACTTCCAAGACTGATCTGAAGGTGTGTCAACCCGTTAGAGGGTGGTAAGGCTTCAGAAGGCAGGGGAAATTGTCACGATGTCAAACTGCAGGTGCCTGAGGGTGGAGGGCTGGCTGCTAGTTCTGCAGCGCTTCTCAGCACAACTGCAGCAGGGTCACACAGATGGCTTACTGTACAACTGGGGGACTCTGCTTCCAGAATTGAGCTCAGCAGGTCTTGTGGGGGAAGACATCAGTATTAGCAGGTTTTTTCCTTTTACCCAACATGTATTTATTGAGCACATACTAAGAGTCAGGCTGTGTGCTAAGAGCAATTTATAATTAACAGAATTAAAGTCTCTCACTTAGAAAGGCTACATTCTAGAGTGAAAAGTACATGCTAAATAAATAAATTACAAACACAATATAATTACATAGAACATAATAAAGTAAAATTCCTTTTTTGTCTTAAAATATTTAAAAAGCTTTCACATGGCAGATAAACACTACTAATTCCACAGGCCCATGTAGACAAAAGTATAAATAAGAATATTTGAAAACAGCAAGTAGCATTTTCAACAAGTTTCCAGGCGATGCTGACACTGCTGGTTTGAGGTCTTGTCCTCAAAAGGACAGAGTAGGACAAGCGTGGCACTTTGCTTAGCTTCATAGTCTCGTGAAGGGAAGGAGGGCCTGAGCACAGCTGCCTGTCGGCACTCTCCTGGACAGCTTTTCACTCTGGCTTCTGCAGCTAGGCAACTCATTTCAAAGTTTCAGGTATTGGGGAGATTAGAAAGTGGATTTTCAGGGACTGCATATCAGCAAAGTGTGGCATTCTTGAGACTGCATATACAAGTCTCCTGTCCCATCCTGCCATCTTTCCCTGCTACACTAGCTTCCCTTTGTCCTGTTACCTGAAGGCTAACACTGTAGCACACTGGGGCTGTGGCTCTACTCTCCTTGTTCCACAGACTGAGATACACTCTCATTCAGGAACTTCATCTGTAGTATGAATTTGTTTATTAGCACCATGAAAATGTTTTAACTACAAACCTTGTGGGTTACATCCTTTAAGGGCAAAGGTGGATAAAATCCATTTCTTTTTCACTTTGTGGAGAGCCTAAAATACCGCCTTGTTTACTGTTCCATGAGTATATGCGCCCTTCATTCATTACTGTGCTACTGGATTATGCTCAGGGGCCAAGGGTTTATTTAAGTAACTCTGAATTGCACCATGAATTAATGGGCTTCCCAAGAGCCTTCTTCTATGCTTAACAATCCCCTTGGACCTTTACCTCAGCAAAAACTAAAATTAAACAAAACATCCAGCCAAACAATAAAACCTCATTAAAACAACAACAAAATAAAAGACCATGCCTACAGAATATGGCAGATTTGTGGTGGACAAAGGACAAGGACCCTTCATCCTTTAAAGCCTCCATATGAATCCTATGGGAGGGAGCGCTGTGCTGCCTGGAGAACCATACTCCGGGTGGAAAGTCACAGGACCTGCTACAGAGCTCACACTGAGTGCAGTGGGGAGAGCTGGATCTGGCTGGGTTTACAGTGGGTGGAGAGTGGACTGGACAGGAATACGCACAGTGTAAGATGTTCTTCTAGTCCAGTCACAAAGCCTACACAGCAAGGTGGACTAGCTACAGGGACTGGGAAAGGGCATCCGTGTTTATAAAATGTTTACTATATGCCAGGTCTTTGCTTAGGAGCGAAAGACAAAAAGTAATACTTGTGGAAGTCTCCTATAGGTGGCATACTTATTACCCCCTTTTTACCTTTACAAAATGGCAGTTATAAATCTGAGTTGAAATCCAAGGAGTGCAATGTGAGGAAGGCTGCATATGAACTCAGGATTGATTCACTCCATATTAATATTTTCTCCTGTATTGTTCTATTTCCCCAAAACCTAACTTGCTGAACTAAAGCAAATTTTTCTAGTCCCTCAAACCTAGATTTGGACAAGAATAGCAGACGGTACTACAGATGCTTTCCTCACTTGACCCCCAGAACAGAAGCCGCCTTGAGCAGCTCTGGGCTTCGTTCAGTGTGCAGCTGGAGTCAGAGCTTTACACAACGATAAGACTGCAGAAGAGTGTGTCTGACAGCATAGGAACAAAGGGGCTGGTAAAGCTGGGACCAAGAACTATCTCTACATTTACTGAGCTCATAAGCGCGCTTAAAACGAATGGATGCTTAAAAATGCCATTTAAACATCACCTTCTTGGAGTTGAAAAGTTTACACTTCTAGAATCTCTGACTAAATGCACTACACTTTTGAACTTTACTGTTAAGCTAATCTAAACAAACTTAAGCTCTCTTGCTTCAAAGATCCAGTACATCTTTTTCTTTTTACCTGTTTACTTCTGACTTCTTAGATATGAATTAGGTGACTCCTAATACAATACTTCCTATTTCTTTAATCATAATATTAGTTCTGTTAGAGGTTATTATTTTTGTCTTCTTTAGGAGCATCTTGTTTATAGTAGCACCCTTGGTTGGATCAATAAAGTAGCTGGTTCTCAACAAATGTCTTTTGGATGAATGGATGGAGGGATGAGAACTGAATACCTGACAGAAGAATTTCTCAACTAGCAATTTAGAGAAATTATTGCTGATGTATAGCATGATCCTCGTATCAATTCTCTGGCTTCAAATGTGTCCTTAGTAATTTCCAGAGGGTGTACTTCATAACTAGAGACTCAGATGAAGATAAACTACATTCATTGCATATGACTTACCCCATAATTAATGCTATTGCACTAATCCTTATTTTTGCACACACTTGTTCAATAACAAATCATTACTGTAGTGTAGTATGTTCTTAATGGATGCAATTCTGATTATGCATCAAATTGTGCCAACTGAAAAATCTTATGACTATTCTTAGTGAATAAATTTGTCCCCAGTGTTCTGCAACCTTAACAACAACTTTTCAAGGACTTAGGTTTAAAAGAAACTATCCATAGTGTTTTAAAAATTAACAAACCCAAACCAAACCAAACAAAAAACTGCAAAGCCAAGAGACCCTACTTAAGCACAGTATTTAAGTCATCTAATTCCTATTGGGCAACAAGGTAAAAATGAGTTTTTACTTTATTCTTTGGCTATTATACCTAAAAAATGAGTCACTAGAATCATGCACAGTAAATTTATTTTGCATAAAAGAAAAAGCTTGCTGTTAATGAAAAATTCAGTAGAAAACAATCCTTTTGTTTTTAAATTGGGGCTCAAAAGTAGAAGTTGCTTGTTAGTGAAACCTCAGTAGAAAGAGAACTGTGTAAGAAAACATTCTTGTCATGAAATCTCTAACATAAATTCTGTAATGAAGTATTAACCATGCAATTTTACTGGCAGAAATGCCAGTTTCTGATGGCTTGTAATTTTTCCTTTTCAGTCCCTTATGACATGAACATGAAAGATACTTAAGCCTGCTTTAGAGTTACTGTATATAAATATGGTGTCATGATAGGTAATCGTTCATAGTTTCCCTATTTAATTGAGAAGTTCTAAGTAGGTAATTGGCACCTTGCCTTTCTGATTTCCTCTCTCCCCCATTAGCCAGTCTGAATCCATTCCAACGACACTGAACACAGTGATTACCTACAAAATATAATATTTCCAATTATTAACTATATAAAAAATAAGCATATATCAAACAAATCAAATTTATATTAAATATGTTTAAGCTTTCATTATTTAAGAGTTTTAAACATCCATTTAGTTGAAAATTTACATTTAGATGAAAACTTATGATTTTATCAGTGGCAGTTTTAAACATAGGCAGAACTTGTATACATAAACATTTAAAACATTATTTATGTTTCTCTATGTAAAACAGAATTTTAAGTGTCCATATTAACAAGTGGGATTCATGAAGCATTCATAATAAATGATGTCTAAGTTAGTAATGAGAAGCTTACATTTTGTCCTACTATCAGACTGCATGTGTCTGTGTGTGATCGACTCACCTCATCAGCCAGAAGTGACAGTTCAGTACTGTTTGCAGCGTCATAGTCATAGAGCACCCTGGCCCTCCTGCAGCCGCTTGATTCCTTACGGTCATTGAGGTTGGAAGGAGAGGTGAGTACTAGGTTACCCGTTGAAGCCATAGCAGAAGGACCAATGGCGTTTGATAAAGCAGATGGCACAGGTGTTCCAGAAGTCTGATTGTTGTTAGAAAGATAATTGGATGGAAAACTGTTGGAAAACAAACAAAAACAAAAAAAACAAACCCTCAATTATCTATTTTCAAGTGATTAAATTACTCACTGTCACCACTTGATGGCACTGTTGACCAACTTCCCCACTGGAAAGATTTAGAGACACTAATACTTCAGCAAGGAAGTGTGAGTTTGTCTTCCTCTTTCTTCTTGGGTGGCACTCAAATATAAAATCCTTGAAGGTTTGCTTTAAAGAACATTTTGGCTGACATTCCTTCCTGGGGTATATGTGTGTGGATATTTTTTCTTAAATGCTGCTGAGAAAATATAAATATACGCCACGTGCGTGCGTGTGCGTGTGTATGTATGTGATATTAATTTCTCTCTCTGTGAGGAAACAAAATAAATAAAAACAAAGAAAAGCTAAACAGTAGGTAGTATTGTAAAAATTAAGTTTTCTTAATTTTTGGGAAACATTTGGTTGCCTGAGCTTTGTCATGAAATCAATATATCACATTTTCCTATCAGTTAAGTAACAAGTATGTACTAACATGCTCAACATTGCTACTTTAAGCTCAAGACACAAGATAAACTGATGTCATAATTACTTTAAGAGGCACACAGACTAAGAGATTAAAACGTTCAAGTTAATTTATTATCATTGACAATAATGATGAAATATAAGATAATAGGAAAACAGAAAATTTCACGAGTTGATTTTTCTATTACTTTAAAAGAAAAAAATAAAAGCCCTATTTTAAACAAGTGAAGCAGGGTAGCTTCCAATGCATTTCTTTTCTTTTTTGGTTTTCCTGAGACAGGGTTTCTCTATGTAACAGTCCTGGCCATCCTGAACTTGCTTTGTAGACCAGGCTGGTCTTGAACTCACTAAAATCTGCCTGCCTCCACCTCCAAAGTGCTGGAAATAAAGGCATGTGCCATCCCTGCCCAGCAGCTCCCAATGCATTTTAAGACTTGTTCAGCAATAGTCTATTAAAACACTAGGCCATGCATGCTAAGAGATGCTCTCCTACGGAGTTATACACCCTGCCCCATATTTACGCTTTAGTCAATCTATCCATTAAAATATACAAGGCCATTTGTTTGGTAAACTATAAGAATTTCATGCCTCTGGAAAAATAACATTGTTCTTAAAACTTTTTTAGAGTTACTTATTTTGCATTATATGTATGTGCACCACACACTCCTGTTGGTTTCCCTGGAACTAAGGTTACATTTGCTTGTGAGGTACCATATGGGTGGTGAGAATTGAACTTAGGTTCCCTTAAGAGCAAGTTCTTAACCATTGAGTCATCTTTATAACCTGATAAAACTCTCCTTATGACCACCATGCCATCTAGGAATCAGTCAGCCACCAGCAACATCCTGTACTACTTTTATTTTCTTAAGCCATGTTTGTCTCCTACACTGCTCTTACAGCTGAATCTAGAGATGCACAGCAGAGGGATCCTATGTTCCTCATTCCCATTCTTCTCTAAGCAACTCTCCAGACCTTCTCGTTTAAAACATTTTTATTTTATTTTATTTTTTTTAGTTTTTTGAGATAGGGTTTCTCTGTGTTGGACCCTGTCCTGGAACTCAGTCATAGTGTCAATATTAATATATCCAGTGTGTCAGGAGAAAAAGAAAAATCTTTGTTGCTTTGTCTTACATTTATGAGTAGAACCCCTTAAATGGGCCCACAATGCTGCCTGGCAATTATATATCAGGCCTAGGCAATTCACTTCTGTTGATCATTTTATATCCTCTTATTTACCTTCAAATGCCAGCAGTTCTCCACTTGGCTGATACACTGGCTTCTTTCAATGAAGAAGAATGAGGAAAGTGACATCTACTCTTACTATGGATGCTGCCTATATTTGAGGGTAATCCCCTTTTCAGGACTCTGAACCGAGACTTGGAGATTTCTCTAGTGAGCCTTTCCTCCGTCCAGTACCATCGCATGTTCTCAGTGTATTTTATCACTGCCATCAGCCTGCAAACCCACTGTTGTCTCTAAATTTAAAGAAATTGTAGATCCTCTTTTCTCCTTTGGCTGCTGCCTTTCTGTTCTTAACAAAAGAACTACTGGGAAATTCACCTCAACTTGCTGTCACAATTCTTTTCAGTCTCTCAAGTAATAAGCCCCACCCACTGTTCAACCCCCTGTCTACTGATTTAACAATCTGTGACATGATTAAGACTCTACTGTCTTACTGACTTAACCATCTGTGACATGATTAAGACTCTACTGTCCTTCTCTAACTGACCACCTTGGCACAATGCCCTGACATGTATCTTTATCAAAAGAAAGCTCTGAAAGGTGACACCCACATTTCTAAACTTTAACATTTAAAAATAGACCTATAGAAATTAATAACTAATAACACCAAATCACTGGAGTTAATTAAAAGATGGTTACCTCTGTGCCTGACACTTGTTTCCTTCTGTGAATACTATGCACTAACAGTGTCCATCTTGTGTGGTGGCTAGGACTACAAAGTCTATGAATAACACACATGAGGTGTATGGAAAATATCTGAGTACAACTTAAGCCCTACAGAAGTAAGAGATGTTATCCAGCGACTAATAGCAACAATCCTATTACAAAATGGCTCTACTCTCCAGAAACAGCTTTTGGGTTGGTTAGTGTGACATGGATGCTTTGTTATTTGTTATTGTTAAGATCTGCATATAAAAGCTTAAACAACAAAAAAAAAGATAAAGTGTTTTACTATGTAGACCAGGCTAGCCTCCTGCCTGAGCCTGAGTGCTGGGATTTCAGACATATACCATGACAGCCAAGCTGTCTTGAAATAAACGAAAGGGCTATTAACATTTCTCCCACTCCTGTCACTCGTCCTTAGCAGTCATATGTTCTTGGCAGAGAGGCAGGATGGCCAGTCATCACCAGAACAGTGTTGGCTTTACTTTGAATGGTGCTTCACCTGAGTACCAGAGATGAAGCTTTGTTTGAATGGCTGAGTGCCAAGGACTTGGTGGCTTTAAGAGAATTAAATATGAATGGTTAACAAGCACGACTCATCTGCTGCACTTCCAGAGTGTCAGGGTACGGTGCGAAAAGTGTTAGGGTTTCTCGGGTTGTCTTTGGATATGCATACTACTAACAAAACACTAAGAATGTACAAATGTAAACCAGGCAGGCTACCAGATCTAAAAATAATAGGCCACCGTTTATTTTGAAGATCTAAAATTAGCTTTGTGATGTTATCTAACTTTGGTAACATCACAATTTTATCTGAAGGATAACTTTGCAGAATGAACACTGCAGTGAGTCTTTCCAATGCCAAACTCCTTTTTATGGTTTACTTCTAAGGCCATTCATGGTGCAACCCTGTCAATTCCTCTAGTCTTACAAACAACTCCTTTCTCCACTAAAACACTATGCTCACTAGAATGAAGTATTGTCAATTACCCAACTTCCTGCTTCTCTTTCTTCTGCATCCTGATTACAATATTCACCCTTGCCTTGTTCTTCATCTAGATGACTTCCACTAAAATAACTCTACCTGGGAAACTCAGCTAGTTGCAGCTGGGCCATAAGTAGATGTCCTCACAACAACCTGCTCCCTCTCTCTACATTTTACCTAGCTTGTCTTCCTCTGGCTAGTACTCTACTTAGAATTCATACGGTTTCCAATGTTACCTTACAATGTGAGCTCCAACAAGGCAAGTACCCTAGCTTGTTTTGTTTGCTGATGTAACTCCAGGATATATATGGGGACTTAAGGCAGGTATTAAATAAATATTTGATAATTAAATGATTTAAGTATGGACTTTATATACTCCTTTGCTTTAAAGAATATTATCATCCTTGAAATAATTATGTAAGGGACTTGAGGTCTTCAGACTATTCCAAAATTAACCAATTAATGAATCAGCTTACCTTTAAGGCAACAAAATAATGTAGCTGTATCTATCTTCTTCAACCAATAGCAAAACATATTCAGTAGTAAAAGAAAAGTTTAGTCTCAATATATCTATCATTTTCTTTGTATGGCACTAGAAACTATTCCCCTAATTATCTTCTCATGTCTGTAACAGATTTGTGCTAGGAAGGCTAAAGACGTAACCTCTGAAGTCTGATAATTAAAAAAAAATTATTGTGTACAAGCTAATAAAATCCTTAACTCTTTCATTCTCACCCAGCTACTGGATTATGTACAAAAATCTTTGTTTTTAATTAAGTTTTATCTATTTTTCTGTGGTGAGCGCATGTATGTGTGTGACGGTGGGCATGCTAAGGTCAGAGGACACTTTTCAGATGCCAGTTCTCTCCTGTGGGTCCTGGGAACTGAACTCAGGCATCAGGCCTGGCAGCAGGAACTTTACCCGCTGGCCATGTCACCAGCCTCACATAAAACATCTGAACTTCTTTCATCAGGACTAAAAAAATCATGTCTTGCTTAGTTACTGTGCAAAGAAATGAGCTTTATCCCAGCATTTCCCCTCGTGTGTCAGGCTTTGTTGTTACTCATTTTTCTTCTCTAATGTCCTCCCTGTGTCCCTGCTAGCCTGTGCTGCCTGGCCCGGGAAGCAGGGCTCATCTTGTCTCTTTCTACCATCTTGCTGTCACAGTGCTGGGACTTATTCAGGTCCTCATGCTTGTGTGTCTCGTGCTTACCCACTCTCCCCATCATGACTTTCATATAGGAAAGGAAATGGCTACCTTCCCAATTGTTTTTGGAGGTCTAACATGTACTGGTAACACTGTGCATAGTAAGTCATCTGAGCTTCCACGAAGTCATTCAGACAGCGGAGATGATGGGCCTGGAATGGAAAAGTTAGTCAGTTCTCAGTTCTTCAAGAGGCGCAAGTCAAGGCAGAACAAGGATAACACTGTTGTGAAGGAGGTCATCTGTATTACCCTACTGTAAAGCTTACTAATGTTCACATTCCCATCAGGCTTCTTAAGACTAATTACTGGTGAACAATACATTGACAAACTTAGTTTAGTCAAGAAGAACCAACATGAGGATTTATGAAATGGGGGAAAAAAGTGAGTGATGAAATGTAAGAGAAAATTTAAGTATTTCTTCAGATCCCTTCAAAATCTCACACTTTAAACTTTCCCTTGACTGATAACTGTCTGTTATGTAGCTCAGGGTGCCTTTAACTTCACAAACTCCTCCTTAGCTGTCTAAGTGCCGTCTCAGCGTCTTTTGTTCAGGATGATTTAACACTCACGTGGGTACTGCTGATTCCCTCCAGCAGAAGTCGGGTAATCTCTGCCTGACGATCAAATTCACTTTGAGTTATTCGCAATTCCTGTTCAGACTTAAGTTAAAAAATACTTTAAGGATCTTGTTAGAAATTTAGTTCACTTTACACAGACCTACCTCTCCAAATCCCAATATACTCCAAATAAGAATTTGATGATTCCCTAATTGTGTGTGTATTTGTGTGTCTTAACTGGTTTTTAGTTTCTAGACCCATCTGTGTCACCAAACACAATGAACAGAACTGATTCTTCACCAACACTTGACTCATACCAAATCTGAATAGTCTGAAGACATATGACAGTCAAGATACCCAAATACCTTTTTTAGTATTTTGCTGAAGTATTTTACAAAATACTGAGTACCACAGTTTTATAAAACAATATTACTTTCAAAAACTCCAAATTACTGTGTGCTCTTTTTTGTACTTAAAGTTAACAACAGTCTTCAATTTCAAATCAAAGACTACAAGAGTAAAGCCAGGATCCCCACCTCTCACCTTTAGTTCCCGAACACTTGTTGCTAAGACAGTCCTTGGTTGTCCCACAAAGTTAACTTTCTTTTGTAATCTCTTCTAAAGCATGTCATTACCATCATTATTAAGATTAGGGTTTAAAAGTTTTTCTATCAGTTACACTGGTCTTCAGTGCTGTGCTGGTGCACAGATTCTAAGGAAAAAGGAAGTGCTCTAACATCCTGATTTACAGGGTATAAATACTCTGGCTTTGGAAATGAGAAGTAGGTAGCACTACTGGCTTCTGTTTAGTGCTAGAACATGAAAAATTAAGCAAACCTAAATACACTAAGCATTAATATCTCAAAACTTTGGTTAGAAGTAGGTGGTAAGAAAATGAGGAGGAAAAATAAAACTTCACAGCCTATTTGAAACAATGAGCTTAACTTCACTACTGGAAATCATCACAGTTGACCGACTCTCTAACATGTGGTTACCCATATGCAAACACTGTGGGTGGGCTAGGCAAGCCTCCAGCCTCGCCCCACTTCCTGTTATCTCTTTCTGTTTCCTATGAATGGATAAAGATGGAAGATACAGTCAGTCAGTTTCCTGCTCCCGTTGCCATGTCTTGCCTTCCCTGACATGATGGACGCTCCCTCTGGAACCATAAGCCAAAATAAACTTTCTACCTTAGGTTGCTTTTGGTCATGGTATCTTATACCCTGATTTCATGGTTCAACTTATATTCCCTCACATGTTGGTCTGCCATCTTTTCCTGTTGGAGGGATGGGACCACACTAGGTTAAGATTCCACACAGCAAGACGAGACCTTAAATCAAGCATTTCACATTGCACAGCCAAACAACACAATCAATAGCTCAACAAACTATGCATGAAGCACACTGTAGAATCAGCAATTCCATAAGTGATAAAATAAAAGTTAAGGCTTACCAAGCTATTTAAATATCTGAGGCCACAGTCAGTACCTATCCTTAATTACTAACATTATCTTAAATTGGAATGCAGACTTTGGTAAGCTTGAGAATGGCAAGTAAATGACAAATATCTGAAGACCTAAAATAACATTTGAAATGAATCTACACTAAAAAAAAATCACAATTTCCTTGAGTTAAAAACTTGATTTCCCAGCCAAGAGAAAGTGAGCAATGGTAACAGAGGCAGAGGGACCACTAACAACAAGACAAGCAGACAGATGGCTTTTACAAGTAGCAGTATGACACTAAGGGAGAAGACAAAAAGCAAATGATGTACTTGTCATATCGCACAATGATGAAATTGTAATTATGACGTTGACTACAAACATTTTCTAGGCTGGCTTATGTAGCTATAAACTATACATTTTACAGGTATATTCTACTAATGTGACAGAAATTTCATTTTGGGGCTCAAGAGGCCCACCTTTACTTCCCTGAAACCCAATTCTCTGAAGACAGGAGGTCATAACATTTGGTGTCCTTTACTTTTAAAGTAACTGTCAAGGAATAAATCAAGTATTTCACCTGTCTTCTGCACACACTGTGTGAGTACCACTTGCTCACCTGCTCTCTAGGATTCCTCATGGTGTACACAGCCCCTGTGGAATGCAATTCTAATGCTGTATGGACTGCTATTAGTAAACACACTTGATAATTTCCTTAATTTTCAGATTTTAAAAGATCTGTAACATAGGCCATATTGTCAGAGCTCCAAGGCTGGTGCTCATTTAATGTTTACTGAATGTCAATTTTGTAGTTTAAAATTTTACTTACTTTTGTCACTTCCTCTGCCCAAATCTAGCCAGCATTAAAAATTAGAGAGAAATATAGAGCATGAAATAAAGTTGGAGTTACACATTTCCTACAACTTAGTATAGAAAAATACAGTTTAGTTTAAATGGCATACTTCTCCCCCTTACCAAGTGAACACAGTAGTAATCTAAATCAATATAGCTGAATATATTATGAACTGCCTCTTACATGTATCAACAATACCAACTTTAAAATCTTATGATAACTCTACAAATAAGAGTAACAGCTTTCTCAAATTGAGAATGCCTGAGCTTTCATAGAGAACCTGCAGTCTCTCATGTAAAATGAGAGGTTTGAACTACATGATTTCTAACTTTGAGGAATAAATTCTAAAATTTTAGAAAATAAAAACAAAACAAGGATATATAGACACTGAGTGTTACTGATGAAACTATTTCTAGGGAGAAAAAATTTGAAATATAGTAAATTTAAGATTGCTAGTTAAAAATCTTATTGTAAGTAGATGATAACCAGCTACAAAACAAATGCTTTTAATAATCAAGTAAAGCCTTGCTAATAGTTTAGAATATTTTTACCATAACAAAAGGAAACCTGTGATTTATATAAAATTAAAAATGACTGAAATAGTCAATTACCTATAGATAAGACAATGGAAATAAATAAATACATTCTCTTGCTATATAATGAAAGCTGTTATTTAGCCAGGACTTCAAAAATTAAAAGTTGGAAACAAAGGCAAATACCAAATGTCAGGTTTATTTTTCCTGGTTTGAGTTCAATGCTAATAGAATAAAAGCAATCAATCAATGACCCATTAATTGTTAAGTAGACTATTGATTTCTTGCCACTTTAAATGGCAGCAATTTATTCAGAATATAATTCCAAGAATTATTAATTCTTTGTGTGTTTGGTATATGTGCTCGTGTGTGTGTGCGTGTGTGTTGGGGGTAGCAGCGGTGGCAGTGGCCCATACATGGAGAGGCGGAGACTGGACTTTAGGTGTCCTCCTCCATTGCTCTCCGGCTTACTCTTTGGCCTGGGCTCTTACTGCACTGGGAGCTTACCAACTGGCTCCAGGGATCTTCCTGTCTCTACCTGTACTTCCAGTGCTGGGGTTATAGACAGGCACTGAAATTCATGGATTTTTTTATATGGGTGCTGGGGAATCCAAACTCAGGCAAGCATGTGCCCAGCCCCAAGGACTATCAATTGCTAGAGGCTAACATGAATTAACTGTTTTTTATATTCATATAATTTTATTTAATTAAGGTAAAAACACAAACCAACAAACCTAGCATCTCAAAACTTTCTTCAGTTTGAGCTAACTATGTACATTAGCTACTATAAACAATTTGTATTCTTTTATTCCTGGGAGTTATTTAAGGGAGTTAGCACTGGATATGGAATAGGCCTGGTCACTGCAATCTGTCTCATCTGGAATGGCAGACAAAATAATTCTATATTGGATTTCAACAACAATATGGTAAAACAACAACAACAACAACAAAAACGAAGTCAATTTGTATACTTTTACTGTTTTCCAAGTAAGGCAAATTTTGTTAGCTTTCATTGCTTTTTTTGTTTGTTTGTTTTTTGTTTTTTCGCGACAGGGTTTCTCTGTATTGTTTTGGAGGTTGTTGTTCCAGCCTAGCCTCGAACTCACAGAGATCCGCCTGCCTCTGCCTCCCGAGTGCTGGGATTAAAGGCGTGCGCCACCACCGCCCGGCGTTAGCTTTCATTGTTAAACTACCACTAAACTACCACCTTTACTAGATGTAAAAGAGCGTTACACACCTATGACTTTAAAATCTGTTTTGGCATGACCAACAAATCTCGTGGTTCTTCAAGTTTCAGTATCACTTCAACTAATATTTTTAGCCTGGATATAATCAATGCTTAAACTTCAGCTATTTGATTTCTATATGCAGCTAATAGCAAGAGAAGGCATTTTACTGAAGATGTAGAAAACACAGTAGGCCAACAAACCTTCAGCCATTTTACATGCAGGAAGTTGAGCATGTAAGAGAAATTTACCATAATGTTATCTCCTTCAAGCCGGGCGGAGTTCAGTTGCTTAGTGCACAGGTGAGAGACAAAGAACACATTATACCTATGAGCACACCGCAAGGATTACATCTGCACACACAGCACATTCTCAACAGCACAACAGACCATTGCTTTTCTACATAGTTCATGTAATGGTGCCTACCCATCGCAGAATTTTCAAAACAAAAGCCAGCTGATACTTAATTTCTGATCAGACTTGTTTGGGGGAAACAAACCTCTTTCAAAATTACAAATTAACTAACACAACTAAAATTTCATTTATGAACGCCTACTTCATACCAACAAGCTTCCTATTTAAAGCTCCTTTCTAGTCTGAATTTTTGGCACCTCTAACCATTCTCTGTTTCAGTTCTCAGTCAGACCTTCCTCAGAGTGTGAGGGCATGCAGTCCCTGTATTTCTCAAAACTGAAAATGCCAATGTGTGCAGGTAAAGTTACGGTTACAGAACAGTGCTCTAGCCTACTGGGATTGTAGGGTAAAGGTTTAGATTGCGGCGGAGGCACAGCTTATGTTCACAGAGAGAACATACACTATGTGAATTATATGAAGGATCTTCTTCTCTCAGATGCTTTTAAAGGCTCTAACATTAAAAACAACTTTTTTTCTCATTAAACAAAATTTTAAAAAAGATAATATGATTAGATTACCAAATATAATTTAAATGCACCAATTCAAGTTTTTTTCTTGCCTCTCTGACATAATGTCTTACCTCAACATACTACACCACAAAACAGAAATTAGTCAAGACTGGATATAGGTAGATTAAAAACGTTTTTTAAATGATAGGGTTAAATCATCAAAAAGTTTAATCTAATAATTTGTGAACTGAGGGTGACAGAAATTTTGCACTATTAATGAAGTTCATAATAGAGCACATTTCACAAAATTAGTGTTCAATACAAAGAGAATTTAAAGAATGAGACCAGGAAAACAGTAAATGAAGTTATTTTAGCAAGTAGGGATAAACCTCGCTCCCAAACCTGACTAGAACAGTAATGGGTAGTCACAAAAAAAAAAATCCACATAAACAAAACAGTGAAATGAAACAATATCTAGGGTAAGAAATACCCTCTTAACTTGCCAACTCAAAACCAAGAGATGTATCAGAAAGAAAGAAAAAAAAAAAACCCCAGCAAAACTAAACTCCCAGCAGACTATCGATTTCATGAACTTGAAAGACAGGCCAAAAGTAATTCAAACTACGGCAATAATGTCTGAAGAACGAGTCATGCAGAGAAGGAATAAAAACAGAATTTTTGTCTGGACTAGTATTTTTATTTTTAGCAACACATTAAGTTTTGTTTGTATTGTGTAGTAATCCTAAAAACCTTTACATAAATTGCTGGGATATACCACCTGCATCATCTTTTAATTTTGAGCATGAATTTTCATGGCTGTATCAATTGCCAACTTTTCCAGATGTATCAAGAAGAATCGTTTTTCCGAAGGTGACCAGATTTAGTTCCTGTGCATCCTAGTAGTGGTGCTACACTATGTCAGTACAATCAAAGGGCAGTTAGAGTTAGGTCTGTGTGCTTCCTGGCACTTTCCTAGGTTGGAAAACAGACCATCACCATAATGGTTGGTAATTAAACATCTGTACTGGAACCTGGCAATGTTATTCTTATTCCACAGCCATCAACATCCAAGTTTTTCTTTTGATAATTTTCCCAATGATCCTTGTTAGTATTTTCCTGACTATAAAATTAGTATCTTAAAAGTAAAATCATACTAAATCACTTTCCTTAACAACTAGAAACCAGCAAACTAATTTAGGGTCTCATGCCATCTACAACATTCTTTTGTAAATTTTAATATTACGGATAATGTTTAATGAAAACCACACTGAGATAATGATGTCATGATAATCTGAGAAGTGAAAATGAAAGTGATTGGCAGTTAGTATCTTATCGAAGCTAGCCCTTCCCCAGCAGTAGATAATACAAAGTATCAACTTCATGATATAATAATTTTTAGCCTTTCCTTCACCATAGAAATGTATACATTATCACTAGCCATTCTAGTTACATGCGCATTATGAAATGACTGTGGCTGTGGTGGGGAGTCCAGATATTATGTCTCTTAACAAAACACATCCATATGCTCTAATTAAAATGCTAGCTTCCTCTAACATCTCATTCTTGTTTATGTTATAGTATTTTCAAACTGTTACAATTCAAATCTAACTCAAGTACTGTACACAACAGACTGAAAATATAGACAGCATATCTATTAGATTTAGTTAAAACTAAAGCCTTTTAATAAAAGTTAGACAAAAACTATTTTAGGGGATGGTTTTCTAAAAATATACCAGAATTTATTTATCCATATTATGGGTTTCTTCCTCTTCGAAAAAGCTACCTGGGAAACCATGCTAACATTATTTAATGTTTTGTAACTATTCTTGGTGACAATTCCTCTATTTATTTTGAGATAGATATCTAAAGAAAATTACTTACTTTTTAAGCCATAGACAAATATTCTCAAACTTGATTCACTTTCATCTTAATTAAATATTTTACCATTTCCCATTATAATAATCTTTTAAAAAAGCATACTAGCCAGTGCAGCTGTAGGCCCTACCTCAGTTTTGGTGATTAACACCTCTTGATAATGACTATTTTGTATCGATTTGGATGTATTTAGTTCTGATCAATCTGTTTCAAAACAAAAACCACATCCCGAATGCTGCCATACTCTATTCTGTACTCTGTATTTGCATGATGTACTAGTAAAATACTTCAGTCTTTCAAGTTATTAAGCTGAAATGTTTTTCTATTAGAAACAGATAAATATATACTACTTACTGAACTTTTAGTTTCTGCAGCTTTTGCCTTTTTAAGTCTTGTTTTTGCAGCATCCAAATCCAGTCTCTTATTCTGTAATAGTTTTCTTTCTTTCTATAAATAATCAAAAAGAACAAAGTAAAGCTAAGGAGGCTAAAATGCATAAGCCATCCCCATCTGAGGACTCATTCTGCATGGAGCAGTGTGCCAGTTCAAGAGAGGCCGTGGCCTGACAGGTGTCCTTCCTTTCTGTTTGATACAGGATACTCACTATGTGGACCAGACCAGACTGGCCCTCAACTGTGGCAATCCCCCTGCCTCTGCTCCCCTAATGCTACGATTACCAGCATATTATACCCGACACTCCTCCCCCCTGCCTCTTTAAAATTACTTTAAAACATTCCAGATTTTGAATCCCAGAAACAAAGGTGTGTTAGTTTTAATATCTTCCCATGTTTCCCTCCCACCAGGATTCCCTCTGGAGAACATTTGGCACTACCTTCAGCTGTCACAAGGGTGTTAATAGCACTTACCAGGCAGACCTAGGATGCTGTTAGTCATCCCACAATGCACTTCAGCTTCCACAACCAAGAGCCATTTGGCCTAGTGTTGGAGGTGGCTAGGCTAAGAAGCTCTTTCAGACTCTTCGGGAGGCCCAGGACATGGCCTGCAAAGTCCTATGTGATCTCCCTTACAGACTGGGCAGGCTGTTTTTAATATGCCACAACACCAAATGTAACCCAACTACTCCAAAACAGTTAGTATAATGCTAACTGTAATAAGGGTCTGTTTCCTTAATCTTTGTATTTTATATATTAGATTTCACCCATCTGATATGTTATGATTTTTTAATGGATGGGAATGAACCCCAGACTTCATCAAGCAATACTACTGAGCCATAGTCTTGGCATAAGCTAGTATCTTCCTTAGTTATCAATTTAGGCCAAGCCTAAACTACTTCTGTATACAGAGATAAAGCCATGGTTGAGCATACTGAAACTTCCCAGGACATTCTGTAGTATAGAATATGCAAATTAAAGTTTGAAGTTGTATGTACAACAATGAGTAGTACTGAGTAAGTCTTAAAGAAAAATATCCCTTAAAGCTTCCTTTTTTGTCAGCAGTAAGACAAGCTTTATGGACTAACAGATTAAGTTTAGAAAGAAACATGACAACATAAATGCTTATACAATAAATAGCATTTTAAAAGCAAAAACACTTCTTGGGATATACAGATAAAGTATAGGAGCCAAAATAATTAGTAGGTTTCCAGCTCCAGTTTAAATTAACATGCAAGCATACTATAATGATATTTTGTTTTCATAATTGTTACAGGAATTTCTTCATAGATTTGAGTGTTGGTAATGCATGAAAATCAATGTACAGGCATATTAACAATGTGGGATTAAAAACTAGGGATTATGTTAGCAACAGTCCTTTCATGAGGTTTAGTTTGTGTTCTGAAGAGTATGTACTTGTTTAGAATATGCAAGTGTTTTAATCTGCAACATTACCACTACTAAGAGGCTAGATTATCTATTAAAAAGTAAGCATGGCTAAATTATGTGACAAATGGAGTATTTCCAACTCACTGTGATTGTTTTGTAATCCCCTTCTATGAAGTTTCTTAGAGGCGTGAGGAAATTTAAAGCTGATGTTTGAATCAGCTCTCTGTCAGCTGTTCCAATTCGCTTCTGTGTTTCTCCACATTTAATAAGGGCATTGCCTGCAGAGGAACAAAAACAAAAGTTTTACTTTTTAAACTATGCCCAGATTTTTAAGCAGAGTTAGAGTAGAGCACACAGAAAGAAAAGCACGTAATCAGTTTAACATGAGATTAGATCCCGAGTGGGAAGGAGACAAGAACTCCTGTCTCTGAATACACACATCTCCATTTGATTTGGTACCTGTGTGGTCACAGATATTTCCTTGTTTTCAAAATGGGCACAACAGAATTTATACTATTAAATATACAATTGTTATGTTAAATAGCAATACCCTGTTCTCAAAACTCTAAGAGATATAAAAAAGTGAGGATTTACCAAAATATCAAATAAATATATTATACTGTGCTTAGAACAATGCCAGGAAACCCATTTTTTTAGCGATTATTTTCTATTAATAGAGTCTCAAAGTCTAATTTCAATTATCAGGATACATTCACCAGAATTACTAGAAGCACAAAGAGATTAAGAGAAAGAAAGTTTAAATATCCTAATATTCATGTTCTTCTAGATCTCTGTTAGCTAAGGAAGGGGCTGAGCCTTTATGAGATCAGGACAAGCAAGCAATGACGTGTCTCTAAAATTAGAAGTTACAATTCAATTTCAAACTTAATCATTCCAGATTTCTCAAAGATTTAGATTACAAAGAATACTTAAATGCTACACACACATATATGCATATATATTTAGTTGACTAGTGGCATTAAAATTCAGGTTTATTCCCTTCTGACACAGAATTTTAGCATAGATCTGAAGTAGTCCTATGTCACAAGAAAATTAAACCTGATAATAGAAATATGGAACTTTGAGGTCCCCGTAGTGCCAGAGATAGCTTAACGGGTAAAGGTGTTTGCTGCTAAGCCTGTCAGTCTGAGTCTGACTTGGGACCCACAAGATAGAAGAGAGCACTGACTCCTACAAGTTGTCCTCTGATCTCTGCATAAGCACTGTGACATGTACACACATCCATACAGACACATGAATTCTGACACATGTACACAGAGCAGAAAAAGATGTAATAACAGCATAGGAACTAACAGAGCTGGGTTACTTACCTGTAAACACCTGATAGAAAGCATGAACTAGAAATACAAAGCATTCTGTGTATCCAGAGGAGATGACTGCTAACATACCCTGGATGCTGACACTGCAGAGGTCAAACAAAAGCAATATGGACTGGCCAAACATTTACTTGAGTGGAGTACTTCCAATGCAACATAAATAAGCACTGAAAGTTTTAATGTAAACAATTACTACTGCAGTGAGATAGTGAAGACCAATCACATGAATTCATTTAACTTTTAGATCTCAGAAAGAGGTGAATGCTCCTCTAAATAACTATTTTTCCTTCAAAAATTTAACATAATCAACAAAGTTAAAACTTATTCTACCATATGCTGATATTTTTAAACAGTAAAAATCTAACTGTAAAATGATTTCCTTTTGGAACCTTTCACTTTCACTTACCATAAGCTGTTCCTGGACCAAACTCAGTCCCTGCATCAATCATGTATTGTCCCAAAAGTTCTGGGTTATTTATACGACTTGGTGCTTTTCTATCCAGTTTCTCATAAACAAATTCTTCTATCCTGGCATCTAGGAGAAAGGTTAGAAATACCAGTGTTTCAAATGAAGGAAAAAGGCAGGCATGGTGGACTCCAGCAACTCCAGCACTGGGGGAGGAGGGGAGAACACTCCAGTCCATGGGCAGCGAAAACCTCCCTCTCAAACCAAAAAGAACTTTAAATAAATTAGCAATTATTTCAAGAGCAAAATCACTTAAAAGTTTGTTCTCCTTCCAGCCATTCACTACCTCTTGAAAATATACAATTAGCATTTATTCAAGTATGTATCTTTAAGTCTAATCACATATAATTATGTTGACTATTATATAATCTCTAAAGGTTTATGGTTCAAAAACCTGGTAATGTATCTCACTACAAAAACATTCTAAAGTTAAACTTATTATTTGGGTATTCTTTGAGATCTTAAGTTTCAGAAGAGGAATTATAAACTTAATATCAAGTGAAATTGCCTTTAATCTACTCTAAAGTTACTTTTATCATTTTAAAATCAGGGATATTGAGCTACAGAAATATGTACACAAAGTTTCTAAGATCCAAGAACTACATCTACATGTTTTTAGCATGAACATGTATTAATTCTCTCTTATGGAGGAGTCTAAACACAGGCACCAGAGCTTGAGGGCTACGACTGCCCTGCCTTGGAACAGTCTTCAGATCCACTGACAGTATGACACCTAAAACTTGTGCTCATATGCACACACATGGGGCCTTGTGGCAGTCAGAGGTTAAAACGTTTGGTGTCTTCCTAAATAACAGTGAAAATTGTTTTTGTTTGTTTTTTAAGGATCTGAAATAGTAATGCAAATACTTTACAAGTTGGCTAAAATAATGTTATTTATAATACATAAAAGGGTTAGTTTGTAATACACAAAATATATGAATTTAGATGACATCAAAAGACTACTAGCTTTTTTGACAGAGTCTTCTGCAAAACCATAACAACTTTAAAGCAGAGCTTAAAAACCTTCAATTAGTTAGGCATAGTGGCTCATGCCTTTAGTCTCAGAATTCTGGAGGCAGAGGCAGGAGGATATCTGTGAGTTTGAGGCCAGCCTCATCTACTTAGGCAGTTTCAAGCCAGCCAGAGCTATACAGTGACACCCTGCCTCAAAAGAAAACCAAAAACCAAAAAACCAAAACACTGCCAACCAAGATGCGTCATTTTGAAATAACCACCTATGAATGCTGACCAGGCTTCACGTTTTTTATTGTGATTTTCAGTTATAATTGCATTTGACCTATATGGTCAAAATGTGAATTCTAAATTGATTTTGATTCAGCAAATAAAATCTCTGGTATATTAGTAAAATACTGCCTCATTTCACTAAGTCATTCACCAGATATGAAAATATGCAGGCAATTCTGCTGTAACATTATATATTTATGCATATTTCTCAAAATATCAAATTTATAGGACTTTCAGGGAAAATAAAAGGCTACTTTCAGTCTATATAATTTTATAATCATAGCACTAAACAATCAACCTGATTTATTTGCTGGAAAACAATGGAGAGAAGGATAGGCAGGCACTGTATTATATTCCACTATTTGCCAGTTACTGAGCTTACAAACTGTATACACATGTGGGACCTCTGGTCAGAAAAACAGAAGTAGTTTTAAAGTATAGTTGTGAATAACTTAAGTTTTCTTTAATGATCAAGAAACAATGTACCATGCCCATGATGACCAAAGATACAAAGCCTCACTCAAGGCTTACATTTTTAAAGGTTACTAAGTATAACTACAATGGCATACATTATTAGGATTCTTATACTGCTGGGAATTTAAGATTGGAATTTTACAATGTGCTCACAATGGCATCAGGGAAAGGAAAACAAGCATTGTTGCTTTTCCCTTTAGTTTTGATATTTAAAGCACACCTTAAAAGACTAGACGTCTATGTGTGAGCTTCTAGGTGAAGCTCCACTTCGTTAGGACTTTGCATATGAGTACACTTAGCAATCCCATTTTGCAAGGCTATGTTGACTTGTTGTGGTTGTCCAAAACTCAAATGTAATAACTCACGGGAAAATACGAGACTTAAAATGTCAGGATTCTACTAGTGTTTCTCTAAAGTTGTTAAGAGACACACAGAAACATTCACCATCTCTTCTTAACCCAGATACACATAATAAAAAGGCCACAGACCCAGAAGAGACAGACTCTACTTTGAACCTTAAAAACATTTACTAACAACACTTAGGGCCGATGAGGAGCAAAGCGTCTTACTTGGATTTGGCTGCAATAGCACTTCAGTCTGCTTCATTATTTTTTCTGTCCATATTTTGGTACATTCGGCTTTGCTAAGGAGGTTTTCCAAGTGAGCATCCAATTCTGTCTTCTCTGCTTGGCCAAGCTTTTCTTCTGTGAACTGTGATTATTTAAAATGAGTACATAAATATATAAACACATCTCAAATACATGTTAGAAAACTATCAGTAAGTGAAAACCAAATTCAAATTCAAACAATCCTAAACATGTAAATAATTACACTCCAGGCTTGTTTGTAAGGCACTGCTTATGACGTGTGTGTGTGTGTGTGTGTGTGTGTGTGTCGGGGGGGGGTATGGTAATGCATCACACTCCTACATCCTACTATAGCACTTATGATAACTATCTTACGTATCCTACTAAAATACATGATGTGAATTCTGCATTTCCTGGTCCATAAACATTTCTAACAAAGACTGAAGTTTGAGTCGTCTGAATTTGAGTTCAGACCCTGACATGGGCAAGCTTTTTTCCCTTTTGTATCCTTTCTTATAAAAGTGATAAAATAATGTTCTTTTTGAGATAAGGTTTTACTGTGTAGCTCAAAATGGTTTTGACTGTTTTCCTAATTCAGCTTTCCAAACAATAAATATTTTGAGAATTAAGACTGTCTATCGAGAAAAAAAAAGGCTGTTTATAGAAATAAATATCTACTTAGTCAGGTAATTGTTATTCAGATTTGAAATTTTAATGACATATATTACTTATAAGTTTTTTTTTTTGAGACAGGGTTTCTCTGTGGCTTTTTTTTAGAGGCTGTCCTGGAACTCCCTTGGTAGTTCAGGATGGTTTCGAACATACAGAGATCCGCCTGCCTCTGCCTCCCGAGTACTGGGATTAAAGGCATGCGCCACCAACGCCCAGCAATAAGTTTAATTACACCCAAGTCACACATTTATGGGACCTTCTGAGCAAGCATCACTTGGGTTGTTTTTTCAGGGAATGCCCTAACAATGTGTTTATAGGATATTCTTTGTTACATTATTCACACAGTACAAGTATTTTTTATAAGATTTTTTTTAAAAAAAGAACTTAAATGTGTGTGTGTGTGTGTGTGCATTTGTGTATGAACACATGGTGTAGGTGCCCACAGAGTCCAGAAGAGAGCAATGAATTTCTGAAGCTGGAGATACAGGGGTTGTTCCTCTGTTGTAGGAATTTAGCAGTCACTGTATGGGGTAGATAGAATGAACAGGTGTTTTTTTAAAGAAGTACTCTGACCTTGAAGAATCCTTGTAGAAAATAGTGATTGTTTTGCTGAAGGGGCATTGCATCCATCCCATGACTCTGGTCACAAGATGCCTCAGGCACAACCAAGGTGCTCGAATCATTGTGTATTGCAAGCACTACAAGAAAGGACTGGAGTCATGGGGCGTGTGAAGCTACCCTTCAGGAAGACATGTACATTAGGTCAGGGACCTTAGTATGAGCTGATACTTTGTGTAGCAATCAATAAATACACATCTGTATAGCTCCTCGGGGTTCAGTCCATCAGAGAGGCTGGACCTGCCAGGTGCCACCTAGGCTTAAAACTTCATCTTGGAGTGCCTCCTTCCTTTAACTGACCAGCACTACATGGTGCACCCTGGCTGAACTCAGGTCCCCTGTCTGCAAGCACACTCAGTATGCACTCTCATCTACCGCGCCATCTCTCCAAAGTGGAGGGGTCTTCTTTAACGATCAGAAAGGGAGGTTGGATACACTCACCACACCCATTTTTAATATAAGCAATGTCTATATAATAGAGAAAAAAGGTCTCTGGCCATATGGGGCCTTTGGTTACTTTCAATTAAACAGCAGAGGTCATATCTGAGGCTCTACATCATCTGTAATTTTCTTCTGCAATGTCTAATCAACCCTTGGTGATTAGTTAACAAAACAATGTTTACCTCGCCCCCCCCTCCTCTCATTTCTTACAGTTCTGTCTTTTGTTTTACTTTCTGAGTTTTATATCTGTTTCTTTGGGTCTCATTCTTCTAAGTTTCACACTTTCAAAGGATTATCAGCACTCCAAAGATCCTATATGGGGTCAGATCAACTACTTCCTTGAGACCCCCTAAACTTGCCATACATTGGCCACCAGCAATCAGTACACTACCTATGAACTGGGCAGCAGTAATAGCAAACCCCGATCCCAATGTCAGTCATGTCAACTGCAACCTCATTCTTGGGACAGGGCCTGGTATTCTTCACTTCTTAAGGAGTCTAAGAATCCACTTGGAGAGGTGTACATCAGAATTTTACACGTTAAAGCATCACCTCCAATAGTGAAGGAAAACTCAGAAAGCATAGTGAGAAAGGAAACACACTTAGGTGAACATCATCTTTAAAAGATGATCAAGAAAAACTTAAAAATATATGCTATTTGTTCCTTTATTCCATTTATTCCTTCAACAAATATTTAGTCTTTCTTTAAAACTTTAAATTACAATTTATTTATTGTATCTGTGTATGCATATGCAGACATGTGACAGTCAGAGGACAACTTGTAGAAGTAGGTTCTCTCCTTCTATCTGGGTCCTGGGAGTAGAATTTAGATCATCAGGCTTGGTGACAAGTGCTTTTACCTGCCAAGCCATCTCCCAGGTTCTCCATAAATACTAAGAACGTACGTGCGCGCGCGTGTGCTTGGACAGACATTTAGGTTTCCAACAAACAGGCAAAGTTTCTGTTTTTAAGAATATAATTTTTTTCTTCCAGAGACAGGGTTTCTCTAGTTTTCTGGCACTCGCTCTGTAGACCAGGCTGGCCTTAAGTTCACAAGAGATATGCCTGTTCCTGTCTCCTGAGTGCTGGGACTAAAGGCATGCGCCACCACCACATGGCCTGAATATTTTGTAGAGAGGAAACAAAACCTAAATAATTAGAGAATAAGCATGCAAAGGTTTAAAGATACTCAACACAAGACCAACATAAGTGATTCTATTTTTTCCTGAATGATATAATAAATCTAAGTAGAGAAGAATAGCCATTTGGAAGAGGAGGAATCAGGAGAATCCGGGACATCTTCACTGGGGACTGAATGAACCTGGAAGAAGCCAGGAGCAGCGTCTGGGAGAGGAGCTTAGAGCATTGCTGCTTGTGAGAAAGGAGAACTCACCACTACTGTATCCATATCAAACGTTAATTGAATAGATCCACTGCAGAGATCAACATCATTAATTTAAAAATTATTATTCGTTAGGTCAGTCTTTGTGTGAGGTACCCTTCGAAAAACAAGTTAAATGGTAGAACAAACTGAAAGGTACTATAACCCCTTCCCCTTTCTAGTATATAAAATGTCAATTTTGTCTAGTATTTTAGAAATACTAGATTTAAAGGTACAGATTAGAAACCATTAAAGCATGTTTACGATAGTGACTCAAGAAATAGTCACTGCATTTATCAAGACAAGTTAGGATTCAGGCAAGTTTTGTGACAGTATTTCAGAGAACTAATGGTTAGAAAGTTAATTATTTGGGAAAAATACTTCATAATCTCTTTAGTAGGGCTGTTGGATTAGTATTTAAATTTTTCTTATTTTTTTTGGTCTCAAAAAATATATTGAGAATTTAAGAGGGCAAAGGTGATATTTACAAGTCCTGTATTTGCGGCTCTAGGACCAGGCTGGCGGGAAGGCTTCTCGCAAGGAAAAGGTTTCCCTTTACAGCTATGGGGTTTGAGTCTTCAAAGAAACAAGAAAAAGGCGAATCTTACAGAACTTTATCTAACTGTGACGTCTAATCGTGGCTGTTACCCTCACACACCTGGTAGAAGGAAAACCACAGAGACACTGCCTCCCTCAGATTGGCCTGCAGGCATGTCTGTGATTTCCTTGTGAACTGAGGTGGGGGCAGCCCACTATAGGCAGGACCATCTGTAGGCAGGTGGTCCTAGTCTCTATAAGCAAAGGCAGCTGTGTGTGAGCCTAGGAACAGCAATGCTCCCCTACCGTTTCTGCATCAAGGTTCCTGTTTTGGCTTCCCTTGCTGGTAGATTGTGACCTGGATGAATAAACTCTTTCCCAAGTTGGTTTTGGTTATGTGTTTATCGATTACACAGTAAGAAGTGGCTTACACAGTAAGAACCTTCAAAAATGAGAAGTCTTTTACTTTTCAGGGCAGAAGACAATGAACAAAACAAACCTTCAATGACAGTAATAGTAAACTCCTTATGGACAAAATGGAAGTCTCTCTCAAGAGTCTGAATGTGTAGACTGTTTAGAAAACAGTCCTGGAGAAGGAAGGCCGCATGGACAAGGGAGGAAGAGCCGGCAAAGCGTTCTAGCATTCACATTCTAAACATAGCTTTGTTATTTGTTTTCAAAAACTTCCACTAATTTACCATTAGCATCATCATCATTATTATTGAGAGGCACACAGTCATGGTATACGTCCAGGCTGGCCTTCAACTCGATTTTCCTGCCTTACCTTCCCGAGTTCTGGCATTGTGATATGTGCAACCATGGCTAGCTTATTTCCTTGATTTTTTTCCCCCCACCAAGAATATAATGTATCTTTGCTATGCTTCTGAATTTCCTCATTTCAGGGCTCAGTTTGTGTGAGAAAGGTCCATATACTAAGGTATGTGTCTCATTTACATCAGATGAAAAATAACCCTTACAGGGTAAGAGTACTAATTCTACCGAGGAATGAGCTGGGGACTGGCGTGACTGAACACTCTAAGTGTCAGTTTGGGGACTAATAATTACTTGTTTACTTTGCTACCATAACCCAAATGCGCCAGACTCTGCCTCCTTGTGCTGCGGATTTGTTCACAGCACTGTGGGCCTAGCTTTGCTTCTTACAGGAGATTCATTCAGTTAGTTACTGAATTAAGGATGGCTTATATGCTATCTTGAATTAAAAAAAGTGAGAGGTGGCGAAGGCAGATACATAGTAAAACTGTTAATGTTATATTTCTATTTCTTTATCAAAATGTAAACTTCCAAAAAAATAGAAATTTTCCATGATCTGACATGTGGGGGCTCAACTTCTCAAAATTTACAGTCTGATGCAGTTTTTCATACTATTTCATCTGTAGTCCAGTAAAACAGCATGAAGAAAGTTTAATTCCTTATATATTGTCTCTAAACACTGCTGTCTGAGTTGGGGGCATTATAATAGGCACTGGATGTGTTAGTACCATTCAGTCACTTATACATTCTACCCTAGTATTTTTTTAAGTATCAAGACTTAGCTACCTATTTATAGACTTGAACAGCTTCGAAGTCATGTTTCTTTTTAAAACAAGAAATTGACTTTCTAATGAAAAATGTCTAGGAAAAATGAAAGTACCTATTGAGTACCTATTGAGCAGGGAATGGCCCACTTGTTTTAAAGCACACTGTGATTTGAAAAGGAATTATGTAGGGATGAGAAAGCCTAGTTCTCGATACTACTCTTCACGGCACAGGTCTTAACTATTTTTAGCAGGAAACTTGGCACTTTGGCATTGTACCCATGATCACCACAGCTCAGATAGTAACTCAGTCATTGACATTAAATGCTGGAATAAGAAAGATGTTTTGCTGTAAACTACTACACAGCATTCTAGTTTTCCTATTTTATTTTAGAAACACCCTTTCCCCTTAAAACCTTAATTAAAAACAGACACACAATAAACTAACAGTGCAGTGGAGATGGTGTAAGGAAACTTCACAAGCCGCCCCCAAGTCAGCTCCAACAATCCTAAGAAGCTGCTCTGCTCTTCTACCTGTACAGCCAGCCTCCACTGTGGGTTCAACCACAGTATTTCAGCATGGGACACTAGCAGTTACAGACACTGCCAAAGGGCACCTAACACTCAGGAGATTTTCTCCACTTCAGATTTCCCCTTCTTAATAAATGGTGAAGGCAAAATCCGAGGAGTCATTTTTAACATCTTTTTCTCATACTCCAGAGCCAGCACTGTCAGTTAAGTCACAAACAAATACACTTTGCCTGGCCTGTGGCCACAGCTCTCTCCCACCTGTATCTTTGAACTTGCGTCTTGTCTGGAAACCTTACTTCCGAACAAACTACATACACTTGTGTCATTACTTCACGCAGGTCTCTTCGCACTTCATCCTATTAGGACGGCAGGCCTAACGCTCCTATTTCCGCACTATGACAATTATCTCTACTGCTACCCTATTAGCTACCCTCACCTGGTATACTCAGAGTCTGTATCTACTAGGCTGTAAATTGCATGAGGAGAAACACTATGTGCTGCTAATCAGCGGTGTTCCTAAGACGGAATCTAAGCACGGGACATATGCCTGAATAAGACTGGGAATTATTTGCCGGCTCACATGCTAGATATAACTGAAAAACTGTTTTAAAAACGACTTGAAACAATAAGCAATTAAAATTCATTTGAGAAGTGCAGCTTTTAAGTTTTTCTATATTTACTTTTTAAAACGGAGTCTTTCAATAATTTAGGTTGAATTTCATAAGGTGCCGTGTTGTGGCAGGACGCGGCATGTGTCTGAAACACAGCTGATTGTATTAAGCTGTGGCATTATGTATTGCCACATCCTCGCTAACGATCCAGAACAACGGGTACCGCGCTAACATCCCACCACCACAAGCTCTGGTCCTGACTGGAGGCCGTTTCCTAGTTCACCTCCCGCTTAACCATACAAGTCTGGGAGGAAGGAGGATAAAGTATGGCAGTTAGCCTGCCACTCATCACAGCGGTCCAGGAAACCAAAAGCTCGATGGAATTAGAATTCCCCACTTCTAAGAGTTACTTGCTGGTGATAATAAGACTTTTGGATTTCAACGGCTGAGCTATCCCTCCAGCCCTCTCTAAGTTCTTTTAAGGCCACATCCTATTGCTAGTCTCCATACTGTAAGGCCCATTCTGGGAAAAATCAGTTGCTAGTGTAGTAATAGGCCAGGGGGCCACTGGTTACAACAGGCCAAGTCAAGTCAAGCAAGTTATCTACATCTCCGAGGCTGCTTCCTTGTACACAAAGGAGGGTTAACAGCCTCTCTCTGACAAGGTGACAGGGGGCTGCAGCTAACATTAACACGTACAGCAAGCACACTGTTCCATCACCCTATTTTTTCCTAAGGGAGGCAGTCATCACCTTGGGGAACTCTCCCCCTCTTTTGCCAAGGATAATGCAATACGTTATCAACGGTGCCAAATACAATTAGGGTAAAGGACACAAGAAACGATCCCGGCACATAGGGCAATACTTTTGTTTGCTCCTTACAGAAGAGGCTGCAGCTGCTACCATAAGTCACTAACTTAAGTACCAGATTGTTTACAACCCGCGTTGTGAAATTTACATCTGTTCACAGATTTAACTGCGTTTGCATAACGCGGTGTCGACTGTAAAAAAAAATCCGCCCAAGTTCCCTATTGCCCAAGTTCCCTTCCTTGATTGCAGAATACGGAGAGGCAGTGAACTTTTCCCCTCCAAGTGTGCCTGAAGCATACCAATGTGACCGTGGACACAACAACGTCGATCTCGCGCTCCTCCTCTCACCCCTGCTCTAGAGCCCGTTTGGGGAATGGCTCGGGGCATCCCTAATCCCAGCTTTCCTGCGCCCTAGGTCAAGTCTGGCCACCGGCCTGGACGGGCGAGCTCCGTCCGCTTCCCCCACGGGCGGCCAGGCTCGGCGCCGATCCTTCCCGGGGCGGAGAGGGCGCGGTGGGACCAGAGCCCGCAGAGGGGCAGGAAAAGGACGAGCCCCCTTCCTGGGGCACGGTCGGGAGGGCGAGCGCGACCCCGGGGCGGGCGGGGGTGGCGCAGAGGAGGTGCCCGGGGTGCCCTGCCCGCCTCGCCTCGCCTCGCCTCGCCGGCTGGGGCAGCGAGGCCTCCGCCCCGGGCGAGCCTAAGGTGTCCCGGGAGGAGGACGCTCGGGGCCGCGTCCCGACTCGGCCGAGCGGCGGTTGGGCCGAGCGCGGCGGAAGCGGGCGGCCGGCGGGGCCGGTGGGGCCGGGGCGCCGGGCCGCGCCCATCAGCGGGCCGGGTCCTCGGCCTCCGCGGGCCCCCGCCCCGTCCGCCAGCGTCGCCGGCGTACCTGCACGGCCCGGCTGAGGAAGGTGCCCGCGTCGGCCGCCAGCTTCTTCACGTTGAAATCCATGATGTTCATGCCGGGCGGCGGTGGCGGCGGCGGCGGGGCAGGGCCGCCGGCGGGGCTGGTGGGTAGGCGGGGGGCGCCGCGGCGACGGCGGGGCGGACGTGGGAGGTGGCGGGAGGCGGCGCCAGCCCCGCGCAGCTGTCGTTTCCTGCGGGGGAGGGGGCGGGGAGGCGGAGGGCGGGGCGAGCGCGAGAGCCGGCGTCCACCCACCCCGCCCCCGCCGAGCGCGCGCCGGGCCACGCACGCACGTACGCGCGCGCGAACGCGAACGCGGGCAGGGCCAGGCGCGTCCCCGAGCAGCCGCCGCCGCCGCCGCTGCCTCCGCGATGCTTGGCCGCCCGCAGTGTGGAGCCGGCTCCGCGGCGGCGGCGGCGGCGACGGCGGCGAACGGCCTGACCGCTGGGGGTGGTGGGGAGGGAGAGGGCGTGGCCTCAGAGGGGGATGGGGGCGCTCCCGGGAACAGCGACCCCTGGCGGGCGGGCTGGCACACAGGCAGATTTCGTTTCTGGTTTCTGACACAGGGCCTCATGCAAGCCAGGCTGGCTCCAGGTTCCCGAGGATGGCTTCGAATTCATCTTCCTGTCTCTGTTCCTGTTTTCTGTCTATCTGTCCCTTTCCCTCCCTTGTGGCTGGAACTAAACAACTGTCCATGCTAGGTTCTGTTTTGTGATTCTTATCATGTACCTTCCACCTTGATGTCTCAGGATGCCTCAGCGCATACAGCCTCAAGTCAACAAAGCAGACGAGGGGAACGGCGAAGGCACACACCAGCTTAGTGTTCTTTCTCTTCTCGAAGTCAAGCGTTTCCATATCCCCCAGCTGCTGAACTCTGATTTTCCCAGCACTAGCTAGAACTGGGCCATTCAGTTCCTCACAATGGCAATTCAGTCGGATAAATGTAATGTGCCCCGGTTTAAAGAACAAAACAAAACTAATAGCATTTGTGAGAGAATAGTAGCTCTCATGTTTAACAGTACACATTGTCGTCTCGGATAAAACAGAGCTTGTGTTAGCGAAGAGCGAGAGAATAGTTATTGGACAGGCAACTATTAACATTTGCTCTGCCGTTGTTGGGCAAGAACTAAAGGATCTTATGCTCCCCAGAACTTATCTTCAGGGTTTAGGCCAGTTATGCAACTTTAAAGAATGAGGAGAAAATTTTTTTCCAAGAGTATGTGTAAGGCTGTGGATTCCATTCCCAACTGAAAGAAAGCAAAGAAAGGACAGTCCCATTAAAAGGTGCTTGAACAAACTGCAATTTCTTCTGTTGTGTATCATTTGACTCATGATAGCATTTCTAAGATTTACCATTTAATTCCGTTTTAAACAAAAGCTAAATAGTTAAATTATTTGTGTGAATTTTGCTGTATATAATTAAGGAACAATAGCAGACAAACATATTTGTAAGTTATAGTGTGGAATGGCTTTAAAAAAACACATATAGGGGTGTTTTGCCTGTATGTATGTCCAAGGACCACATGTGTGTCTGGTACATTCAGAAACCAGAAGAGAAATCCCCTGGAATTATAGACAGTGACCCACACTGGAGAATTGAGGACTGGACTCTGGTTCTGAGCCAGCTAGCCAACTCTCCAGCTTCCTTTAGAGAGAGAGAGAGAGAGAGAGAGAGAGAGAGAGAGAGAGAGAGAGAGAGAGAGAGAGAGAGAGAGAGCGCTGTGGTTGCTTCCAGAAGACAGCATGGGTACATTGAAGAATAGAGGGTAGGAAGTTTTGCCTCTGCACCTGTGTCTTTCTACAATGCTTGTGGTTTCAATTTCTGTATAGATATTCACTCAGGTGTGTGTGTGTGTACATGCCTACACTCGCATAACATTTCTTGCATTTATATTTGGATTTTAAAGCAAATACTTCAGTGATTTAATGAAATAATGCATGGCCATTAAAATATTCAACCAGCACAGAAATGAACCATGATGAAAGCAACTAGTACTTCAAACACTCAGAACTGGCCAGCTTTGATATTTGGTTATTGTCTTTCTCTGTAAATATAGCTGCAGCTTGGGTGACACAGACCCAAGCATGAGAATGGAGCCATAGAGTAATAGGATGGGGGGACGGGATGGAGGGGAAGACACATAGAGTAATAGGATGGGGGGACGGGATGGAGGGGAAGACACATAGAGTAATAGGATGGGGGGACGGGATGGAGGGGAAGACACATAGAGTAATAGGATGGGGGGACGGGATGGAGGGGAAGACACATAGAGTAATAGGATGGGGGACGGGATGGAGGGGAAGACACATAGAGTAATAGGATGGGGGGACGGGATGGAGGGGAAGACACATAGAGTAATAGGATGGGGGGACGGGATGGAGGGGAAGACACACATGAGTTATTTTGTATGAGAATTTTCTTTTTCTTCTCCGCCCCCTTTCTGTTTTTAAGACAGGGTCTCTCTAGCCTAGACTGGCCTTGAACTTGAAATCTCCCTGGTTAGGCTCCTAAGTGCTGGGATAGATGGATGTGTTTCTCTGCATCTATCACTACCCTCTTTCTTCTCTTTTCCAAGCTGCTTGGTTTAATCTTAGGCATATCCATTTACTGTATTAAACATGAGGTAATGGGAACTCATGTATTTATTCAACTTTCCTTTGTGCTCTCTCTGCTAACTTGTATTGCTTTTTAAAATTGTTGTCATTATTGATAGAGTCACACTGATTGAACAGTGTCTGGTGTTATTAGAGGACATAAACAAGCATTCCTTTTCATTTCACTAATTAACTTTTTGTGTGTGGCATCATGTGTGTGCATGTGTGTGTGTGTGCATGTATGCACATGTGCCCGTGCCCATGCATGACAAGGTAAGAGGAAGATTCAGTGAGCCCCAGGGTTCCTCCTGTCCCAGAGCCCAGTGCTGGGGTTACATGTGCAGGTGACCAGGCCTAGCTTTGGCACTTTTGTGATCAGGACTCAGGACTTGCGGAGCAAGTGTTTTTACTGTCTTCCCAGGATCAGCAACCATTCTGTTTATTCCCAGGGAAGGGAACATGTAAGCATCCCTTTCCATCCCGCTTACATTTGATCCTGTCATTCCTTCTGTCCTCCACCAGAGGTCAGTCCTTATGTGCATGGACTGAATTCTCCCTCTCCTAGCTCAGAACTTGAGTATCATCGTTTTGGATTTTCCTTTTCCGGAGGACCCTTACTATCTATCAGGATCTCCTGATTCTAATGTCATCTCCCTCCATTGTCACGATCACAAATACTGTCTCTATTCGCCGTCACAGCTCTGTCTCCTTCCTTCTTGGAGTGGTCAAAGCTTTTGAAAGAATGTTAGCAATTATTGTCTCAATGTCAATTAATTTCCATTTACACCAGATCATGTTAGCGTGGCTGCTTCTATGTTATTTCCAAGAGCTATTTTTTTAATCAGAATTTTTCTTCACTATTTTCTTCTCAGCCATCATCATAAGAAGAGTGTGTAATGAGGATTTAGCATGTACCTGTTACAGCTTTGACTTGTTAACTTTATGTGTAGTATTTTCTCTCAAGTCCTCTCTTGTTTTGCCCGCATTATATGTCCCTCCTCTGATATTCCTTCTACCTCTCAAGTACGACCTCACGCACATGCGTGTGTGTGTGTGTGTGTGTGTGTGTGTGTGTGTGTTTCTGCATCACCATTTTTACTTTAATGGAAATTTCTCAAGGTCTCACTCGTTTTTCTTTACTCTTTTTCTGTAACATTCTGTCTCCATTCAAGTGTCTGCTTATACACAGATGTCATCAAATTTTCTGTTCTTATCTTGTCAAATATTTCTGAAATACCATTACTATGTGTCAGGAAAAGTTAACAGTATTTCCTCAGTATTGGCAAGTGGCCCATAAAAAAACAACTTTCTAACTATCATAATTATAAAATCCTTCCAAATTTAAATAACTGATATTTCCATCAAGTTAATCTTTTGCTTTCAATCCATTCATGCCTTCTCATTAGTTTTGGGATAAAGAACAAAATCTGTCACCTGCTTGAAGGCCATGCACATTTTACTTGTAACGGCCTAGTCAGTCAACCAGATCAATGGAGTGCCTTTTGGCTTTTTGAGACAGGGTTTTTCTGTGTATCCTTGGCTGTCCTGGAACATGTAGATCAGGCTGGCCTTGAACTCAGAGGTGTGAGCCAGCCACCACTGCCCACCTGGGATATAGAAATCTTAAGTCATACTTCCTTCATATTGATTTACCTTGAGTTGATATACAACCTATAATATTAAAAAGTCTCATAGGGGCCAGGTGCGATGGTGAACACCTTTAATCCCAGCACTTGGGAGGCAGAGGTGGATCTTTGTGAGTTTAAAGCCAGCATGGTCTACATGGAAAGTTCCCGGTCAGCCAGGGGGCATACTTAGTGAGACCTCTGTCTCAAACAACATTGATGGTGGCAGCAGCAGCAGCAGCAGTAGCAGCAGCAGCAGCAGCAACAGCTGTTAGTGTGTAGGCATCTGGACTGGCCTGCCCTTGGAGTCCTGACATGATACACCTCCAGCTACTGCCACTAAGAGCACTACCTGTGCCTATTGACTATGTTCCCTTTAAAAGGGCCCTATCCACTCCCCATCCTTCTCTCTCTCTTACTTTCTCTCCCTTTCTCTGTCTCTCTGTTCCCTCCCTCCCCTCTCTCTCACTGCTCCTGTCCCCAGAGGCTGGTTTCCCCCCCTCCCCTTTTCCCTTTTTTACGATCTTTTTCCCTTAAAAAAAAACCCTCCACTTGAACTCTGTTGTGTGGTGTCTTTCTCTCTTGTGCTGCTTTTTGAAAATTACAACAGCAGCAACCAAACAAGCAACCAAACAGCATTAGAGATTAAGTCATTAGTCTTTGCTTAGAATATTATTAGTTTTAAAAAGTAAAAAGTGTATATCTTATATATTTTGAATGCTTATAATGATTCCACTAGATGTCAGAGTAGCCTAAAAAGTTAATTGCTATATAATAAAGGTATTGAGTAAAATTGCAGTTAGCTACTGTATGTTTCTATGTTAGTTTAATGAGAAAAGAGAATGCTTTTGTTGATACCTTTGAAACTGAGGTTGTAGATGTATATTGAATGTGAAGGTTAGAATTTTCCTGTGTTAACAGAATTTTTTGTTTTTCATTAAG